GTGAAATGAGGATGTGAAAAAAAATAAAACTTATGTACATTTTCTGGTGAGAAAAAAGGGAGTGCAAGGTAGTTATACACACCAGCAACAGCCACGTGCCAGTGAGGGAAACCAGCCTCTCCTTCTTACATGGTTAAGACAGTTTTCCTTGACTAAGTTTTCAGTGGGTGCCTTGCAGTCACACAGAGTGGAGCTCACTGCGATGTGTTTAGGCACACGCAGGACACCACCTGGTCAGGGTCACTCTGCCTTCCTCCCTTTCCCTGCCTCCTCCCTTCCGCTTCTTCCCCCTCCTCTTCCTCTCTGTGCGCCCTCCTGTTTCCATGGACCCCCTTTCTAAATCCTTCTTTCCACCTGCCTTCCACATAGGAGAAGAGAAGCATCTGCTCTGTGTCTTCCGGAGTCTGGCTTGCTTCACTCACATGAGCTTCTCCAGTTCCAGCCACGCACCAGCAAATGGTGGACTGCACTCTTTAAGGCTGAGTGAACTCCAAGTGTCCGCACAGCAGGTTTTAATCCACTGCACCAAGGTCTGTAAGTTGGTCGTGTGGATGACCCTCTGAAGACACTGCTGTGCCTGCATCACTCTAGGATGCTGATTTTAGTCTCCACGGAGCTGCTCCCCAGCCTGGGCCGCCTTTCAGAGCTGCACAGGGGAAACGGCTCTGCTCCTGCACTCCCACAGGCAACCCGCCTCCCTGGCCCCTGAGGCTTCCCACCGCCAACTCTGAATCTTTAGGAGTGGGGCTGGTAGATGCTGTGACGGGATCTGTCATCTGTGGAAGTCTTGGTCCTTTGTAGCAGCAGTAGGAAAGAGAACAAGTCAACTTACGTCCCACTAGATCTGACTCTTTGACATAGCTTCTCCCCAGATGCATCCTGAGCTCCTTAAATGGGGCCGTGGGACTATGAGTGGCCCTGCCTAGCAAGCCGTGACACTGCCAGTCAGAGCCTCCGGTCACACTGACTCTGCACACGTCTGTAAGGGTGACACCACAAAGCCCAGGGGCCTGAGTCCAGGAGCCCCTCGCTGAGACCCCTGCATCCAGGTCTCAGTAGGGCTGGGAGAGTCCTGGTGAACTGGCTTCACCTGGCATCACCCTTAAACCGTCTGTTCGCCCAGAGGCAGCCTTGCTGCCCGTCCAGCTGTGGACGTCCCTGAAGAGGTGCCCTCAGCACGAGGCCTGAAACTTGAGGTGACTGACACTTCTGGAGGAAGTCTGCACGGGGAGGGAGTGAAAGGGAGTCACAGGACGGGGCGGAGGGACAGGGCTGAGAAGAGGCCAGCAGCGAGCCCCAGTGACAGACGCCGAGGACGCACACCTGCTGGAAGGTCCCCACCACGCTGGCTCTGGCCAGGGCCCTCACCACACACTGGGCAGGGCCAAGGGAGGGCATTCTGCTGCCCCTGACCTGCCAGCTGAAGTGGGCACGCTGGGCCTCAGGTCCCGGAGCCTCACGCACTACAGAACACGCACTGTCCAGACCTGCCCCTGAGAAGACACGCAGCTCCCCAAAGGCCAAACGGCAAGAGGACTCCAGGGGAGGAGCGTCCAGCCTCTGCAGGTGCACCCCCATGGCCGCCTCTTCCCTCTTGCCCCCGTCCCTCCAGCAGCGAGTGCAGTCCCCACTCTGGACACGCCCCGTGCCAGCCTGGAACAGACGGGGAGGCCATGCATTCACTCCAAGGGAGTGGGGATAGGGCAACGAGTGGGGACAAGTGTCTGCGGGTGACTTTTCAAGAATTTCGGGAAATGTCTGGGCGAATGTCACAGTTCAGATGACGCAGATGAGATCTAATGCCATAAAAGCCCTCCCCCACACCAAGCTACAGGTGGTGACTCCAGGAATCATGAAGAAAGTGACTCACCCAAACTCTGCACCTCTGGCTGCAGACTTGGAATGTCTCCGCAGGTAAGACAAAGTATTTTAAATATTTCTGAAAAGAAGATGTCCAAGTGGCCACTAAATATATGGAAAATGCTCTATATCACTAATCATCCTGGAGAGCAAATCAAAGCCGCCATGAGATATGACTTTAAATGTCTATAATCAAAACGCCATAAATAAGCATAAGGGGAACTTCAAGACACTGCTGGGGTTTGGTACGGCCCCGTGGAAAAGAGCATGGACGTGCCTGAGAAAGTCAGAGCTGCCACGGGTGCCACGTCCCAGTCCCGGTCACCTCAGGGAACGAGATCCACCATCAGGGATGCCCACTCCCTGCCTTTTGTAAACAGCGAAGGCAGGGAATCGCTCGAGGTGCCCATCAGTGAAAGAGTGGATACAGAAAGGTGGTGTTTCTACACTGTGGAGTAACAGTCGACCATAAAAGGAACATAACCCTGTTATCTGTGACCAGGTGAGTAGAATTGGAGAACATGAGGTTACGTGAACTAACCCAGGCCCAGAAAGACAAATGCCACCTGTTCTCACTTGTAGGTGGAAGTTTAAAACTTGATACCATAGAACTGGAGAGAAGATCAGAGGAGGCCAGAGGCTGGGCATGATGGGAGGGGGACACGAAGCTGCAGAGAGTGAGACACAAAAATACAGTTCCTCATTGAGAGGAACAAGTTCTACTTCTCCAGAGCACGGTTAATAGTAACTTGCTGTACATTTCAAAATAGCTAGAAGAAACATTATGCATGTTCCCAAGACAAAGAAATGGTGAACTTTTGGAATGATGAATACGATTTCTCTGATTTGATCATTACTTGCATACACATATCAAAATATCACATCCTATCTCACACATGTGTGCAATTCTATGCCAATTAGAATAGTAAGAAATTTCAAAAGGAAAGAAATAAGTTTACATAGTGTGGACCAAGGACAGGAAAACTCAGCCTGTGGAGACAAGAATTTCCCCCATGGTTCAATGTGCCATTAGTGCAGGGTGGAGAGAGTGACTGTCCCCTGTATTTCCACGACAGCACATCTCTGCACTGTGAACCAATAAGAATTTTTGTGGTCCATGTTGGTTATGCGAATCCGTAATTACAGATTCTCCTTCTGAGGTCTGATGGTGAATTTGAGGTGTCGTTCTGTCTGGATTAAGGAGTTCTCAGAACACTGGAAGAGGAATACTTTGTGCATGTCGGTAGGGTGTGTGTGGAGGAGACTCTTCTGTGAATCAGTGGGCCCAGTGGGGAGACCCTCCCTCCCTGTGGGCAGCACCATCCGTCCATGCGGCCGAGAGCCTGGAGAGAAGAAAGGGCAGAGCGGAGGTGAATTTCCTCTTTCCCTTCTAGATGTGGGATCCTCTCGTAGGCAGCAGGCTCAGGCCCTCCAGGGGACAGCAGGACGTACACCAGTCCTGGGTGCTGCCCCGCCTGCGGCACCAGACAAGTTGCCACTTGAGAAAGCCAGGGCTGGCATCACCTCAAGAGCCCGGGGCTGCTCTCCAGACAAGAGTAGGCAGGCCCAGGCTGAGGGCACCTTGGTCACCTGTCCCAAAGGCAGCAGACTACGTGAGCCCACAGTGCAGAGGATGACTGGGCCCTGAGAAAGGACCTCTGTCCTAACCAGCAAGTGCCCAGCAGGCCTGGGCCACCAGCCCCTGTCTAGGCCTGTGGCCAGCACAGACAGCCACCACAGGCCCCCAGGGAAGCACCCTGGTTCCAGGTGAGCCCTTCAGCATCAGCAGGTGTGGAAGGCACGCAGACGCAGCAATCAGGGGAAGGGGCAGAAGGGCCAGTCAGCTGGACTCCAGGGCTCTGGACTGTAGCAGGCCGAGGCAGGACTCTGGCCAGCACCCGCCAGGCCTTCAGTGGCTCACAGTGGCCCTCGGCCTTGGCCCTTGCTCTCCTGTCACCTCCCAGAGTCAGTTATTTTGCTGTGACCTGGTAGAGGTCTGGGGGTACCTGACCTCTAGACCCAGGCCGGCCCCCCTGGCCTGAGCTCATCTCCAACAGGCTCCTCCAGGCAGGGGAGGCCAGGAGCTGACTCACTGCCCAGAGGGCCAGTGAGTGCAGACGAGGAGGCCACAGTGTGCTGAGCCTTGGGCAGAAGGGAGGCTTTGCTGTGGTCTGCGTGGTGTCCCTGGATCCAGGCGCTCAGGCTTGGTTCCCAGACGGCGCACTGGGGAGGTGGTGAGATCCTTTCCAGGTGGGCCTGGTAGGAGGTCCTCAGCCCACAGGGGCATGCCCCGGAAGGGGGCGGTGGGACCACAGGCTCTTCCTTTCCCCTTTGTTTCCTGGCTCATGAGGGGAGGGGTTTGCTCCACCAGGACATGCTGCCCTCAGCAGAGGCCCAAAGCCCTGTCAGAGGTCCAAAACAAAGAGGTCACTCCATGTGGCACTGGAACTTCCAGAGCCCTGAGCCCAAGGGGACCTGTGAAATGGCCTCGGGCTAATATTGCAGGTATAAAGTGTGACTAACACAGCTGTTTGGCTTCTAGAGGCTTCCCTCCAACCCCACTCTGCTCCCTCACAAGCCCCTTCTGAGCACAGCCCCCCCTTTCCCAAATATCCCTCTGCACGGATCAGGTCAGCTCTGCTCCCGATGTCCCCAGATCAGGTTCATTCTCACCAGGGGCCCACCTTCTCCTGGAGAAACCTCAGGGTCTGGGGTATCTCCAGGCCCCGACTTGAGTCACCTTTGGTCCCAGTGCCCCACACTGGGACCCCTTATTGTTTTTGTTTTACCTGAAGAATCAGGGACAAATGGTCACCAATGTCACAAATTTTGGACCTGCAATGGTTATTTTGGGTGTTAACTGGACGGGATTAAGAGATATTGAGATAGCGGGTGAAGAAGCAATTATCCTCAAAGTTCAGTATGCACTGTGCATTCCTCTTTTCCTGAAATGGAAACACAGATAGTTTGCTATTTGATGGGAAAGATAGGGTTGCTTCGGTGGGTGGGTGTGTGTGAGGGTGTTTCCAGAGGACACAGGCCCGAGACTCAGGTGACAGGGAAAGGAAGACCCACCCTCTACGTGGGCAGGCCCAATCCTACAGGTGGGAGGTAAGAACAGAATAAAAGGCAGAGAGACACCCACCTTCTCTCTCTCCCTAGAGCTGGGACACCCTTGGGCTTGGACGTCAGAAGGCCAGGCTGCTGGGCCCAAGGACTCCAGGACTCGCCCCAGCTCTTCCCGTGGCCCCAAGAGAGGTGCCCCATCCCCGCCCTGGGTCTGCAGCCTCCATTCCTGGACGGAGCCACACGACCAGCACCACAGGGTCTCAGTCCTGAGGACAGGCTGTCCAGGCGCTCCTGGCCTCCAGCAGCACGTGAGCCACTTCCCCGGGCACCGCCCTCCATGTCTGCCCCCCCCTCTGTGCCTCCTGCTAGGCTGCTGGCTGGGTCTCTCTGCAGGAGCCTGACTAATGCATGGGGGGGACATGGCACTGGGGGATGAGAGCCCAGACTGCACTTTCTGTGGGTCTTTCTGGAAGATCGCTGGAGGGGCTGCCCCTTGTGGAGCCCCAGGGGAATGGAGGCTGACCTCCTGCACAGGGACAGCAGCAGGCATGTGGGAATGGGCTGCGGCATCTCACTGACCCACTGGAGCAGGAAGTGGGCCTCTGGAGCAGCTCTAGGGGACCTGCCTCCCAGAACAAAGGGCCCAGGCTGAAAGAGGGCGGGATGGAGCAGACCACAGGCCAGGCTCCTCTGGAGGTTGGGGGACTCCGGGGAGCCCAGAGACGGCTGGCCAGCAAGGAGGGTGGACTGGCTTCGGAGCACAGGCCTTGGCAGCCAAGCCCCACACCCGGGTTAGGACAGGAGTCAGCAGCCCGGCTGCTCACAGGGCCACTGCAGACAGGACGGGCCCTCCTGGAGGGCCTTCCCTCTGGGACCGCAAAACTGAAAGAATTCCCCTTCATTTCAGAGACCATGAAAGCAAAAAAAATTGCAGTGATTGGGGCCGGGGTCAGCGGACTAGGGGCCATTAAGAGCTGCCTGGAGGAGGGACTGGAGCCCACGTGCTTTGAAAAAGGCAGCGACATTGGAGGACTGTGGAGATACGAGGTAATTCTGTGCTCCTCCCGTGAAGTGCAGCCGTGTGTGAGAGACGCTTCCTCTCTGACAGGACCCAGAAGGCCGTCCACTCTGAGCAGTTCCTCCTTCACTCCTTGGTGTCCCTTACAAGTGGCAATGTCTACACTGAGACGGAGCTGAAACTCCGGGGCTTGCAGGACCCTCTTCCCTGCATTTCCTGACAGCCCCCAGGAGCACTGGGCTTCTGCACATAAAACCGACATGTCCTTCTGCTTGGCAGACTTGGGGACAGGCCGGAGGTCCCCTGCATGTGGACTCTGGCCCTTCCCTGCACACCACGGGTCACCTTCTCGCTGCTCTGTGGGCGGGTTGGATGCAGTTGAGAGCGTTCACTATGGGCCCTCTATGATGCACAGAGGCAGCTCACGCTTCTGAACAACAGCGAGACTTTAAGCACGTGGCACACAGTCTTCACACAGTGTCCCCTTCGTGGCCCTGCCTGATTTCACCTGGTGTGTCAGTTAGTGAGCTGAGCACACCACGTGTTCATGACTGCTTCCTCCCAGGTTATGTGGTGCCTATCTCCAGGGCCTCCTCCTAATCCATGTTCCTCCAGCTGCGAGGCTGAATCTCTCCTTGGGAAACTTCTCTTCACCACTCGGTTTTATGTTGCTTCCTTTTTGGTTGGTTTAGAATTTGTTTCTTGGGTCGTGTTTTGATTACTTTTAATGTTTTTATTAGGGTGTTATATTTACGAGTAACAGTGGGTTCACAGAGACATATCCATAGGTATAAAGTACATCATTTGCTCCAGTTCATTCCCGATACATCCCTTTCCCTCTTCTCCTCCTCCCCCTGTCCTTCCTGGGTTTTCTGATCTGTCTGGACATTTTCCTGTTGGGAGACCATCAGGGCACACTCAGGGTCCATCATCATGAAGAGGATTCTACTCGTCTCATCTCCACACGGGCTGACTCCAGCACCTCCTTCCTGCTCAGCTCCATTGTAGAAACCCACAAGGACCACGAGTCCCAAACCCACAGGCTGAGGACCCCCTCTCGTTCCCCACTGTGTGCCTGAACACTGGAGGCCATGGCCGGTTTGCTTCCCACAGGAGACCCCCGACACTGGACGAGCTGGGATATACAAATCCTTGACCTGCAACACCTCCAAGGAGATGACAGCCTTCAGCGACTACCCCGTCCCTGACCATTTTCCCAACTACATGCACAATTCCAAAATGATGGAGTATCTCAGGATGTACGCCAGGCACTTTGGTCTCATGCAACACATCGAGTTCCTGGTAAGGAAGGCAAACCCTGCTCAGCACCTCCACGTGGGTCCTGGCAAGTCTTCACCAGCCAGAGCAGGCAGAGGCGCCCACCCAGTGTGCATGTCCACCACAGTTCCAGAGAGACCTGGTGTCTCGGCACATTCTCTACGTTAGTGAAGACATTTCTAAATCAGGTCCCCTCCAAGGTGCACTGTGTCCACATTGGTCCCTAAGCTGAGGTTTCAGTTAATTATATTAGACGTAGAATACAGGGTTAGGAATGGAATTTTATGTATTATGTTGCCCAAGGTACCTCGATCCTAGGGAAGAAACAATTCTAGGAGGTTGTTGTGCATAAAATTATAAACTCCCAGGAGCTATGGAGAGAGAGCCACCACCCACTTTATTGTGAACCCCAGAGTTCTCTGGGGAAGGAGATGAGCAGTGCTCTAGCACTAAGGCTGCCTTGGCCCCTTGGTTCCTAGGCGAAGGTGTGCAGTGTGAGGAAGCGCCCTGATTTTTCATCCTCTGGCCAGTGGGATGTGGTGGTAGAAGCTGATGGGAAGCAGCAATCCTACATCTTTGACGGGGTCATGATCTGCAGCGGCCATTACACTGAGAAGCATTTGCCCTTACAGGAGTTTGCAGGTATTTAACTGATGAGTTAAATGAGGGAAGATCTTTGGATCCAAGAATCTCGGTGCCCACGCTATCATGGGCACAGGACAGAGCCTTTTCTGGCACAGTGGGGTGCAGAGAGGAGCGCTCAGATGATAGAGGTAGCCCTGGGACTGGAAGCCCAGCCTTCCCCAGGCAGCCAAGGCAGGGGTCTGGCCTTCCAGGAAGAAGAAGCAAGTGAGCAATGGAGTGTGGCCTGGCCAGGAGAACACACCCTTGCTGTGGGAGGAGCAGGTGTGTGGGCAGGAGAGGTAGGCGGGAGTCAGTGAGCAACCAGTGCAGTGTGTGAGAGTGTGTATGTGTGTGTGTGTGTGTGCGAGTGGGTGCATGTGTGAGTGTGCATGTGTGTGTGCGTGTGAGTGCATGTGTGCCTGTGTGTGTGCACCTGGTGCGGACTGCTACCTGAAGCATTTGTACTTACACAGGTCTGTCTTGCAGTGGTGGGAAGATGGTTGGACAGGGAGAAAGACCAAAGCAGACACATCAATAACGAGGAGTTCTTGAGAGTCCCCAAGGAGAAGTGAGGGAGGGCTGAGTGAAGACGGGGAAAACACACCTGTAGCCACGTCTGTGATATGTGTGGAATACAATCAGAATTGTCAAGAACCTCTGAAACTACTCATTCGCATTTGTCCTAGTCAACAGAGCTGCTGGACTGTGACACACACACACACTCGTTTACAATATACGCGTTGTAAAGACGTGGCACAGGCGGAAAAGCCTAGGAGCACCTCTGTGGGCTGATTATACACTAGCCTGTTAGATTACGCCAGTTAAATAAATATTCCATTAAATCTTCCACACAGTATTCTGCTGACCACTCTAACCTCTAAAGCTGCGGTCAGCTTCCTTGGACAGCACTCTGCACGCTCACCTGGCTAAGGACCTTTGTGCATAATTCCTTCTCAGTGTTACAAGAAGGGAAGGCAGTTCCTCCTATATCAGTGGAGAATCAGAAAAAGACAAGAACATCCTAAGGTAGCACCAGTGAGCACAGTGAAAAAACTTCAGGTTGGGTTTGAAGGGACATTCGTCTGCTGGACTTTGGTCTCAGCCTCTGGACCTTTTGTTCCCTGCACAGTCTCGTTCTGTCATTTCGGCAGTGCCTGACCCACAGCAGCAAAGGGGGTGGAAGAGACACAGCCTCAGCTTGGAAGCACATTGTGCCAGGTCCCGTTCCCGTCTGTGCTGCTGACATGGCTTGGTCTCTCCTCCCAGGCATCCAGAAGTTCCGGGGCAGGTACCTGCACAGCTGGGAGTACAAGCATCCAGACGCTTTTGCGGGGAAGAGAGTGGTTGTGATTGGCATCGGGAACTCTGGAGCAGACGTGGCTGGCGAGATCAGTCGTGTTGCTGAGCAGGTTGGCATTTTACCCTCATTCTGACATCAAGGTGAGAAGACACAGTTCTTACTGGGCGGCTTCTCCTCTCTCGCAGGTTTTCCTCAGCACGAGACGAGGCGCGTGGATTTGGAACCGGGTGTGGGATGACGGCAACCCCATGGACACCGCCCTCTTCACCCGGTACAATAGGGCACTCCAAAAACTACTGCCCTCATTCCTCATCAACAGGTGGACAGAGAAGAAACTGAACGCAAGGTTCAACCACGCCAACTACGGGCTGCAGGCTGCACACAGGTACGTGCACCTGGGCTGGGACGGCCAGGCAGCTCAGCAGAGTCTGTAAGTTATTTGCAAAGAACCAGGATCAAAGGAGACCATTCTAACTGATGTTAGAATGCACTTTGATTGATAATATTCCAGTTATTTTCTTCCAATGTTCTTGGAATTCCACTAAGGTATAATTGATCTGTGTTGCGGGGAGGGGGACAGAGACTCAAACATCTGCCTTATTTGAGTCCTGACCATGTGACTCTGCCTTACATCCTCTGTTTGCCATCACCTGTCATCTACTCTGTTTGCTCTTGAATTCAGAACTGTCATTTCACCGGGCTTGGTGGCCCGTACCAGTAATCCCAGCTAGTCAGGGGGAGAAAGCAGGAGGACTGCCTGGGCACTTAGGAAGACAGGTTCTCAAAGTAAAGCATAAAAGGGCTGGGGCTGTCGTCAGTGGCAGAGAGACTGCTTAGCACACACCAAGCCCTGTGTTTGACCTGTGGAACCCCAGGGCTGCCAAAGCCCCAAGCCGACTGTGTTAGGATCCCAAGGGGAGGTTGGAGGACTCAGTGGAGAAGGCTGGGACATTTGATCACTTACTGCTCCGCAGGCAGTGGGCAGAGACACGATGAAGGGCCACCCTCACAAGCAAGGGGCAACCATGGGACTCGTCACCTGCCCACTGCACAGGTGGTTTCCTTCAGAGGTTGATGGTTTATGGGTGCTTTCCATGACTTTACCACCAGGTCACCCCTTTCAGATCCCCTCCAAAAGATAAAGATGAGACGGGTAGCCAGCCCCCCTCTGCATCTCCCTCATTACTATGTTAAGTGGAATCTGGCCTCACTGCAAGCTCTCCTAGGCACTGAAGAGTATTTGATGCAACAGATCCCCAGTACTACCAAAAGAAAGAAAGAAAAAATTCCATTTCACCCCGTAGATCCTTGAAAAATATTAATGACCAACTAACATCAAAATTTACATATTATTAAGATGAAATAAATATGTTAAAAAATCAAAGCAATACTTAAGTTTTATCTAATAATATTTAGTATATATTATCACCTGATTGGCCCAATCTGATTTTGCTATCGTATCATTTTGTTTTCGCAAATTTAGAAACTGAGACTGAAGTGTTTTGGAATTTGACCAAGGTCTCAGTGGCTAATAGGTAGAACCAATACAGAAGCTGACTTCTGACTCTGAAAATCAAGTTCTTAACCAATAAACTAAACTACCTTTGTAAGAATAAAATAATTAACATTATTGAAATACTGGGGTGGCTTCCTGAGTAATTCCAAACACAGTTTCTTGAAGGAGGAACTTTATTTTCACTTCCTTACATTTCCTTCCTTGTCGTGCAGAATTTTTTCATATCAAACAGTTGTCAGTGACGACCTGCCAAATCACATAGTCACGGGAAGAGTGCGGATGAAGCCAAACGTGGAGGAGTTCACCGAGACGTCCGCCCTCTTTGAGGATGGCACTGAAGAGAAGGTCGACACTGTCCTCTTTGCCACAGGATACACCTTCTCTTTCCCCTTCTTGGAGGATGACTTAGCAATCCTGGACAGCCAGCATTCCATGTATAAGTTGGTCTTCCCTCCTCAGCTGGAGAGGCCAACGCTGGCTTTCATTGGCCTCCTGCAGCCCGTGGGGGCCCTCATCCCCACAGCAGAACTCCAGAGCCGATGGGTTGTGCGCGTGTTCCAAGGTAGGCCGGCTCTCCTGGGTGAGCAGCCGGGTTCCTAATTATGCACGAATGGCAAGGCACCCGGAGCCCCTCTGCCAATTTACCTCCTACCACAGCACCTGAGATTTCACCATAAGAAATTACTTTTTTCCATAAGAAATCTAGAAAGTCGATTTTTCATTTCTAAAAGAACTCTGTTGAAAAGGAAAGCATCCAAGGGAAGAACAGGGGAATAGCTTAGAGTTGTGTGCCTACTTCTCTTTGTTCTGTCCCTCATGTTGCTGTGTCTTTTCACACTCAGACCTTCATTCTGCCGTGTTCCCTCGGCCCCCGACGCTCACATTCACACCCAGGCCACTTTGGATTTTCACTTCTTACCAAAAGCATCATTGCAGCCTTGGGATGTTTCCCCTCACTGCACAACTCCTGAAGATACAGTGAGAAGAATGATTTCCCACCTGCTCTGAAGCCTGAGGACTTGCATTTGAGATGTGAGCTCCAAGCCAGGCAATGTCTAGAGAGAAGATTTTGAGACGTATCAGTATCGTCTGAGTATCACTGAAAGATTAAAAACACATTGGGGAATTCTTGCTATTCACAGATTTTGTTATGAGTTTAAAGTGAGGAACAACTCAAAGCCTGTTTCTCTTAAGGGAAGTTGATTCCTCTCCTGACTCCTGAAATTGATAGGAAATTCTCTTCCTTGGGATTTTATACAAAGTGCTTTAATTATGAGTTCCATAAAATGATGATTATTACAACTCTTCTCATTCAAAATTTCTTTTTTTGTTGTTGTGGTTTACTCCTCTCCCAGCCCTCCTTACATTTCTCTCTTGCTTTGTCTTAGGACTGAAAAACTTGCCCTCAGAGACTGACATGCTGGCTGAGGTCAACAGAAGGAAAAGGAGAATGGCCAAAGAGTAAGCACACCATCCCTGGCTGAAGGACACCAAACTCGTTCCGCAGGTCCTACTGGACCTCTGTTTTTGAACAAGGCACCCTAACAAGACCCCTAAGACAATTGTAGCCTGTGACATTATGGTGACAATGCACATGGGGACAGGTGTGGAAAGCCTGGCCAGAACACCAGTCTCATAGGGTGTCCAGTCCCTGCCCTGAGCAGCCTCAAAATGAGGACACGAGAATATGCCAGAACCAAAGTCAGAACACAAGAGGAAACCAGCTCAGTTCAGAATAGAGAACACACACTGCACCAGCGCTCACCCAGAGCAGCCTAGGGAGATGCGTGCTCCTTCAGTGTGGTAAACACAGACTCTGTGCGCTTGGAGGAAGACCTATGCTCACGAGCACACTCGGGGAACTCTGGAGGATGTGTCCTTCCTGCAACTTCCTAACTAGGCTTTCAGTTAGGCATAAAATTAACAGCATATGTGAATGCCATTCATGTCTACTTCAGTCTACTCTTGGTAGTTTACAGCTTTGTTGCTAAAGGAAATGGATTTCACCTGTGTTTTCTAATTGATTATTTCTAGGCTTCATTAAAGTTATTATTTCAGGTACCATTATGTGGTGATGAGAACACTTTACTCCTTTATTAATTTTAATGATTCTTTACTTGGTTATCTTAGGAGGGTAAGTGACCATGAAGTTGGTTCTAATTTTCACTCTTCCTTTCCTATACCTGGATCTTCTTTCTGGTATCTCTTCCTTGGCTCTACCTTAGGAGATGACCATAGTGTATAAGGAGGATCAGATGTTCTTGTTTTATTTATGGATTTATTTAAACTATTATTAGTGTTTTACTATTGAAGATGATATTGACTACTTTACTTAAGAAGGTGTCCTTGGATTCCAACTTAGGAAAAGAAATGCATGTGGATTTTACCAAAACCCACTTGAACAAATTCTAAAATGACAGAGATTTCCACCATTGTCATGTTAATGGCATGAATTATAGGAGTACATTTCCTACATTAAACATGTCTTAATTTCTAGGGATAATTACTAATTGGTCATTGTGTGTGATTATATTCCAACACTGTTAACTGTTGGAGAGAAGTTCATTTGTGATTTTTTGAACTTTTATAGATGGGAATTGTCTGAGATTGTCCTTTCCTCACTCACCCTGTTTCTAATTTTGTTATGTTGTTTTGAGGCTTAGAAACTAACAAAATTAATGAACAGTGCTTTTATATGCTAAATCATAGCTAATGATTAAGACTTCAATAGGATAAGGACTTCATGCTACTTGAAAATATCACATATATGTATGATATGTACATATCATTGAATAACATATGTATCATCAATGTAGATGTTTCAGTTAAACACTTAAGAAAAAATTCTCGGGCTACATTTTTCCATTGTTTCCAGCATTATTGGTCTAAGTTAAACACTTAAGAAAAAATTCTCGGGCTACATTTTTCCATTGTTTCTGTTTTCATGAGGAAATGTATTCATGAATTTTTTAGGAAATTATCATTGTCATTTAATTCTGCAAATCTTAAGAATCTTCTAACATTTCTTCCCAACATTTTGAAACATTTAGATATTTTTCAGATTGTCAGAAATTCCAGTCTTGTTTTTCTTTAACCCAAGAGTGATTTACTGGAGTGGCTTTTGTTTGTTTTGTTTTGTGTTTTGGTTTTGGGGGGTGTTTTAGTTGTAGATGGACACGGTACCTTTATTTTATTTTTATGTGGTGCTGAGGATCAAACTTAGTGCCTCACACGTACTAGGCAAGTTCTCTACCAATGAGCCACTACCCCAGCCCTGGAGTGATTTTAATTTCTGAGTAGGTGGAAGAAGTCCTAGGTAGGAAGCAAAAAGTGCATCCTGACTGTCTGAGAGTCCCAGGAACTGATGTCTAGAGTGAACACAGGCAGAGACAGCTCCCATGGCCTGAAGATAGCTGTGAGCCGGGCCGTGACGCTTCCCGCACTCACTCCTTGCTAGTCAGAGCTATGTGGCGGGAATGGGGGCTCTGGGGTGGAGCTGTGTCTGCCAGGGAAACGGACATCTCAGCTTCCCCTGCGCTTCCCTCAGCCTTCCTACATACATGTCCCCCTGCTGGGCACTCGGGGAAGTTTACACACCTCAGGCATTTACCTGTGAGGCTAAGACCATAGCACCCTAAGGAGGCCACGGCATGTGCAGGACATCAAGATGGTTTGATAAGCAGAAGACAATGGAGTCAAGAAAAAAGCAGAAATAAAGTCCCTTAGAAACTCGGGATGATGCTGACAGAAATGTGACATCGGGCTTCCAACGTTGTCCTTCTTATTCCAGGTTTGTGGACAGCCCAAGAGATGCATCTCGAGTGAACTACATCGACTACATGGATGAGATTGCTTCTGAGCTAGGCGTCAAACCCAACCTGCTCTCCCTCTTCCTCTGGGATGCCAAGCTAGCCAGGGAGGTTTTCTATGGGCCCTGCACCCCATACCAGTACCGCCTACAGGGGCCCGGCAAGTGGACCGGGGCCCGGGCAGCCATCCTCACCCAGAGAGCCCGGATCCTCAAGCCCCTGAGAACACGTGTGCTCCAGCACTCTGGCTCCCGTTCCTCTAGGTGGCTTTGGGTCACAAGTGCATGTGCTGTCATCTTTCTCTCTGCTTCCATGGTCATCATCTTGCAGATGACCGGTCATTAAGATCACGTGGACACAGATGGGCCTGGAACCAGAGAAGAACAAAGCCACTCAGGTTTGAATCTACCAAAGGAAAGCAGTCAGTGGTCTGGGGAAAGACATCCTTGGACAGGCCAGCTCACACACAGATTTTTCAAAGGAAACAGAATTGCCCCAATGATGTTTTCCACGTGCTCTACATGAAGGGAGGTGTGAAATGCACAGCTTTGCTCCCCTTCGTTTCAGTAGGAATTTGAAGGTTTGACAGGTTTACCCAGAGGACAACGAAATGACAAGTGGGGCCCCATTGAAAACCAAGGGGTGAGACAAAGCGAAGCCAGCAGGAAAACCCAAAGTGTGTCCTGCAGCCTCCAGCCTCCCCCAACCCCGTTCCTACTGCACATGGAGACCTTGTGGCCAACAGAAAAGCCCGACGGTCTCCACCTTCACCAACTGACCCAGCAGCCCTGTTACAGGAGAGTCGACAGCCCCCGGAACTCCAGGGTTCCACCCTGCCACAACGAGGGGCCAGCCCACCTCCTGGTCCAGAGGCCAACATTCTTCCACTGAGGTGCAATGGAGGAATAACAGAAATGAAGAAAGAGAATGTTCTCAAGATATTTTCCTTGCAGTCTAACAACTGCAATGTTACATCCACCTACACTTTAAGAACAACAAGCAGAATCGACAGTGTTAATAGAGACTCGGGGGACAGAATGACAAGACCCTCTGTGGGCACTGACTGCTGGTTTAGCGCAGAGGGAACTCAGCCTGCACTGCACGGGAGATGGTCCTTCTAACTCACGACACCGCTGGCTGGCGGCATATTGTGTTATGGCTGTGTAATAAGACACGCTCAGTTTCAGAAGGTACATACAAAAGCAGGAATAAAGTACCATGATATCCACAATTTATGTGCAACAGACACGAGAATAACTGTGTGCCTGTGAGTGTGACAAAGAGGGATTGCGTGAGAAGGATCAAATATCCACAGCAGGGTCTTCTAGGAAAAAGGGATTCAGGAGCTCTTCACACTTCTTCTTCAAATCCTGTCTATGTCACTTTACATTTGGGAACTTCAACACAAAAACCTTAGAGAAACACTTATTTTCTAAAATCACTTATGTTTGTGCCATCAATAGCCCACAAATTTGAGTTTAGCCTTTTATTAATCAATCAAAAAAGGGAACTATGGAAAAGCAAATAATGAGCTAATTAGATAAGATCACACCCACAACACTGTTAGGGATTTAAGTGGAGGAGGGATTTCACCATGGACTCCTTAAAAGCCATGGCGGCTTGGTAATAGAAATATCATCTGTGACATCTATACTCTATATGTGCAGACTCTAAATTGTTTGGGAGCATCCCCATCATAAATTAAGCATTTTTGCCATGATATGTTTTTGAATAGCTGACCTGCTATTTCTTGGAGACTCTGCTAATTAATATTTCCATCAACAGAAATCACCATGAATATTGAGAGTTTACTTTCAGAAAGTGTCTGGAGAAGAACAACTTTGTAGGTAGCCACTTTGATTGCCTGAGATCCTTACCCAAGGGGACCCACTCTGGGGGCCAAGGATTTTTTAAACTTGATTTTGAATCTGTTCCACACTGTGAATGGCTGATCAAAGCCCCTATTTAGTGTGACCAAAAGAATTTTAATCGGAAAAATAATTATCATTCCTCTCTGAATGCCCGCTGAGCCTCCGAAGGCAGACTGTGAAATATGCCCCAGTGTAAGTGAGCGACCTTAGGGGGACACCACAGTGTATAAGACAGTCAAAAGCTGGGCTGGAGCCTCCAAGCCTGCCCCTGTCCCTTCCCTCCCTCCCCTGGCCCGGCTCCTACTCTGCCTACTGATGCTGTGTCCCTCTCAGTCACAGCTATGTTACCTTCTCCCAAAGCCCCGCTGAGGCCACCATCTCTCCCTCTCCCACTCCACTACCAAACTACCCAACAGCCGAATCCAGCTGCAGTCTGGCTGGGCACAAATCACCGAACTGCCACCAAGCACTTGTATTTTCAAACAGGACACTTTATTGCCTGAACTCCAACAGCACTCCACACACTCTCCTCGGGAACTCTCCCGAACGCTACCCACATGGCTCCTCTCTGGCACACCACACCAACTGGAATTCTCTCCACAGGAACTTCCCCAACCAACTCGAACTGCAAAATAGCGGGCGCCAAGGCGAACAACAGGGGTCTATATTCAATTGAATCAATCCAGCATCATTTTAATGGCTCGCCTCTCACCCATTGCTTCTGGCAAAATGCCAGGGGCCATTCCGACTCAGCTGTGGCTCTCAACATCTCCCCCCTTCTGTTTAATTAAACAACAAGCAATGTGGCTTAGGGACCGCGCCCGTCTTAAGTTGTCCAATATTACATATGGTCCTTACCAGTCATCAGATGAGCTGACCTCTAGGTGTCAGCCTCCTGTCTTAGGTTGGTACCGTTGCATTTGGATCTTACCTGTCATTGACTACCGGTCCAGCATACAGCCACACCTGTGGATAGGCCTTTGCACCAGTGGGGAGATGAGGTTCTTTGCCTCACCTCTGTTGGCCCCCAAATTTGGCCTTGGTGCCAGTGGGGGGAGTGAGGTTCTTTGCCTCACCTCTGTGGCCCCCAAATTTGGCCTTGGTGCCAGTGGGGGGGTGAGGTTCTTTGCCTCACCTCTGTTGGCCCCCAAATTTTAGACCATCACTAACAGAAGGGAGGAGGATGCAAAATACCACAACACCAAGCCAAATGACGGTTCCTTTTGGAAAAATTGTACCACCGATGACACCATCCAGAAAGATACCCCAGCAATACCACAATTTGCTGCACCAACAGATACTTCACAATGCATACAAGTGATACATAGTCCAGGCAAGTTCTGAAAGCAGTTCAAAGCAGAGGAATCCATTAAAATGTCCATTTCCTCCCAAAGTAAATGGACTCCTTGATTGAGCATTACTTGTTGAGTTATTATTCATTGATGCATCAGTTTATACAGTTTGTTGTAATAGCTATCATAGAAGCTATAATTTGGTTTTCTCTTTGTCTTCACTGGCACTGGGATGAAGATAGGAATTATGGCAGTGATGGCTAAAAAAAAAATATGTAACATTCCAACAGGTACTAAGAAAACAATTTTCTGAACAATTGACATTATCCTGAACAGAATTATTAAATATAATGAAAAGGAAAGGTGAAAGTAAACAAACAGATCTGTTAACCTCCTTTTTTGTTCACAGATTAAAATAATCCTCAACAGCTGTTTACCCAATTTAAATTAAACCATTTAAATCACGTGAATAAAAAAAAATATTTGGAACCATTTTTTCATGAGCGCTCCTCATATATGATATATGACATACGCACATACAGACATACAACACAAAACACAAGTGTGCACACATGATACAATACATACAACACATAACATAATAATAAAGGCCTTGTAGCTTTTCACAGGTGAAATCCCCATTGCAATGTTTAAAAACTCCACAGTAAAAAAATAGAACTGATCAGAAAAACATTAACCTAGGTCTGTATGAGCTCAAAAAATAAAATAGAACTTCATGATGTGGGAAAAGGCAATAATAAACTAGATATTGAAAAAGGCATCCTGGTTACCACCTGGGTTTGACTCTTCTGTGGATATCCCATCCTTTTTCCTGTAACTTGCATAATGGGTCTGAAGGTATTCCCACAAGCAAGCCCCAAGGTTTCTTACATTTGAAATAGGCCTTAATGGTGTTCATTATTCATTAGCCTCCAGGTGTGGGAGAATCACTGTCGCAGATGTAAGAATAGCCAAACTGGAGTTCTGAATATCAGCTGTTATGGATTTGAGTCAAATCATCTTCTTTTTGGTCTGTAGAAATCGCTTTGGTTAGTCTCTCTGGAATCCAAATCGGCTGCTGTTCTTCCTGTGGAAACACACAAACAGATTCCCAACTCCAGACAATCACTGGGTCAGAACCTTTCCATTGTCCTGTTAGAATATCCTTCCAAAGTACCTTGGGCTTATGTACATTTTTTGGACACATATGCCTTTCCGTAGCACTAAGCCCTGATGAATCCAAATTTTAAAAGTTTAGAGTAAAAAAAGTTATTTTAAGTTTATCTTTGGGGGATATATACCCCTCCCCAATTCCCTCTTTTTGCTTTAATAAATACATTTTAATAATTTGATGAGCTCTTTCAACTGTGCCTTATCCCTGTGGATTGTATGGGATTCCTGTTATACGAGTAATGCCAAATGATGAGCAAAATTGCTTAAAAGAGGTAGAAGTATAGCCAGGACCATTATCTGTTTTTAACTGTTTTGGAACGCCCACAGTGGCAAAATTTTGTAAGCAATGAGCTATAATATCTTTAGTTTTTTCTCCGGCATGTAGGGATCCCATCAAAAATCCACAAGAAGTATCAACTGTAACATGCAAATATTTTAATTTTCCAAATTCTGGCAAGTGTGTGATGTCCATCTGCCAAATATAGTTAGGTGTCAGTCCTCTAGGATTGACTCCAAGATTAACTTGTGGTAAAAAGGTCACACAATTTTGACATTGTTTTATTATTTGTCTAGATTATTCCTTAGTTATTTTAAAACACTTTTGTAAAGTATTGGCATTGACATGGAACCTTGTATGAGAATTTGTAGCTTCTTCTGGTGTAGAAAAAATATGTATGTCATGTGTAGTTTCATCTGCTAAATCATTGCCCAAACTAAGGGCTCCAGCATCTTCAAGGGATACTATAGCATTAACTATATACTGACTAATAGAAAATAAATTAAATACAGAATCTTTAAACATCACAAAAGCTTGTAATACTGCATTAAGCTTTTGAGCTGATTGTTTGGGTACTAAAAATGTAAAAGTTTGATCAGGGGTAACTACTGCTGCTGTACCATTATTTGACCCATCAGTGAATATATTTGGAGTATTCATGATAGGTGTTTTTCTTGTAAAACCTGATGGTGTTGTTGGGTTCCTCCATGGTTTTGCTGGGTTCCTCCAGTGCCCCGTATATTTGTGGTCATGGGCTCTGGAGCATTGGGTCCCCCGTCCTTTTTTGGCAATGGAGCCTGATGCCTTTCTCCACAATATTGTGGGTAAACACCTGGTCCTTGTCCATTTTTTGATAATGGAGTACCCTCTATGGTGGTTTGAGAATGGCATTCATTAGCCCAATGTCTCCCTCTACGGCATCGTGGATAAATACCCGGTATTCTATCCCTTTGATACCTAGTTTTGTTAAACCCTCCTCCTATGGGGCAATTCCTTTTAAAATGTCCTGTTTGTTCACAATTGTAGCATGTTTTTGGCCTGGCATCTAAAGCCTGTTGTACTGCAGCTGCCAAGACTTGCCCTTGTTCATTAATGTCTCTACATAATTTAATATATGTGTTTAAATCTTCATGTTTCCATGGTCTAATGACTTCTCTGCAGCAACGATTTGCTTGCTCATAAGCCAGTTGTTTTATTAATGGTATTGCTTGTTCTGTATCCCCCAAAACTCTGGTAGCTATTTGAATATGCCTATCTACAAATTCAGCATAAGGTTCATTAGCTCCCTGTATTACCTTAGATAATTGACCTTTTAAATCTCTATGTCCTTGTAAAGTCTTCCATGCCCTAACTGCATCTGCAGCAATTTGTGAGTATATAGCAGGATCATATCTAATTTGTTGCTGCTGATCCTCATAAGGTCCTTTTCTTAACAACATATCTAGATTTCTCTGAGGATAACCAGCTGCTGCATATCACTTAGCCATCCTGTGCAAAATTCCTCATTGGCAACCTTCCATAACAAATATCGCCCTCCATTTAGCACAGATTTACACATACTAGCCCAATCTGCTGGCGTCATGTCCAAGTTGGTAATGGTTTAGACCATGCTTACCGTGAAGGGTGCTTGGGGACCATAGGTTGTTGCAGCCTCCTTTAACTGCTTCACTGTTTTGAAATCTAAAGCACGGTGAATTTGCTGCCCTCCTGCCTGCTCAAATACAGGGCATGCTAATCTTTGAGGTCCTGTCTCAGGATCCTATCTATCAACTATGGGGGTTGGGGGCCCCCCAGCGTATTGTCTCTATGGGTGGAGCTGTTGGTTGGACACTTACGCCCTCTGGTGATAGAAAGGTGTTAGTAGCAGCCTCCTGTTGTAACTTATCCCCTGATAGTTCTTCCTCCTTTAAATTTTCTTCCTCTGTCTGACTAGCTCGAGAGACCTTCTCTTTTACTTGGTCTTCTACTATAGTCTGAACTGAAGGCTTTGGACTAGGCAAACAAAATCATACCAACATCCATAACGGTAATGTGCCAACTGGCAGAGTTCCTGGGTTTTTCTTTTCTTCTTCCCTTAAATCTTCACCATGACGGTCCCACTGTGATATATCCAACAACTCCTCCTTAAAAAGCCATGGGCTACATTTTAGTATTGTATCAACATATGCCCTGACTGTTTTTGGTTTTACTGGGGTGCCTCCTTCCTCTAACAATTTACTTAACAATCTTTCGGTTTGTTTTTTGCTAATTTCTGACTCCATATTTCTGCTACAAGGATAACACAACTCAACAAGATAACTCAAAACAAAACCGAAGCAAAACGAAACAAAAACGGAACAAAAAATCATTGTATCAATTTTCCTATTTTCTTGACATGTATTTTCGTGGTCTATCTCTATCTCTTACTCAGGGCTGAACAACTTCAAACCTTGAGCCAACCATTTTTCCCAGTTTGCCTGAGAAAGTTCTAGGGACAGGCAGCTTGAAACAAAAACAAAACAAATCAAAACAAGAACACACTGTTTTTTGAAATGGTCACCCATTCTTTCGCTCTCCTTCAGGGGTGAGCAATTTCACTTACCCCCAAGCTTAAGCGTTCCCTGTACCGGCCACCAAATGCCGCAGTCTGGCTGGGCACAAATCACTGAGCTGCCACAAAGCACTTGTATGTTCAAACAGGAAACTTTATTGCCTGAACTCCAACAGCACTCCACGCACTCCCCCCCCCCAACTCTCTCCGAATGCCATCCACGCAGCCCCTCTCCAGCACACCACACCAAACAGAACTCCCTCCACAGGAACTTCCCCAACCAACGCGGACTCCCCAGGAAATCCCCTCGAGAAGTAGCGGGCGCCCCAGGCAGACAGCAGGGGTCTATATACAATTGAATCAATCCAGCATCATCTTAATGGCTCGCCTCTCAACCATTACTTCTGGCAAAAATGCCAGGGGCCATTCTGACTCAGCTGTGGCTCTCAACATAATCCAACCAATATTATTACTAAGGACAACCTAAAGACGTCCCTGACCCCATCCCCATCCTTCTGGACCTTTCAAAGCCAGGCTGGTAACAGCACAGGAGAACCTCCCACCATGCTCTCTCCTTGGACTAAGGCTGAGCCAAGGCCTTCCCCAAAAAACTCCTGATGTGGTCACAGACCCCTGGGACATGCTAAAGGGTGTCCCATGGTAACACACACCTACAAACCAAGTTTTCCTCATTTTCTTCATCTTTTCCAATGTTAGTGACCAAAAGCAGAGCAAATGAATGGATTTCTGAAGTCAAATGGAGGAATCCTTCGGGACATTTTCATAAACATACACTTGGAGCTTTAAATCAGGCCCAGAAACCAGCCCAGACCCCTTTCCAGATAATGCCTCAATTTTTCCTAAGGTAGCTGATTGGAGTAAAATCCAATGGTGCTCAAATCCTGAACTCTCCATGCTTGACTATTCTGAAAGGTTTGCAAATGCTTTCAGGCACGGAAATCATACACTTCCAAGACACCCACCAGGTCTCTCTCTTTAATGTCACCTTGAACTGGTTAGGTGAACCAGCTACCAAAACAAGACGGGCCCCACTGAGCCACTCTATAATCCCTGACCTTTCTGACCTGGCACACCAACTCTAAGCCCTTCAGAAGTCGGCAAAGAAGAAACACCACTCTGACTTTGATTCGCCACTCCAGCAAACTGTTCATCAGGTGACAACTGCCATCCTCTCCGAGGGACGTGCAGCGACCTCACAAAGTCAAAGGGGTGCTTCTCTGATCAAAGCCCTCAGCCGCTTCAGGAAGGGCTGCTGTGAGCTCACTGCAGCTAGAGCCACCAGGAGCCCTCCTCAGCCCCCGAGGGCTCTCCTCTCCCTGGTGGCTCTGGAGTCCAAGGGGAAATCGGAGCACCTGGATGGAGGACGAAGCAGGCTCCAGGAGCCCCTGCAGTGACGCTGCCTGTTCAGGCCACCTCCTGGAGTCCCGCCCTGGGAGCATTAAGGCTGGGTCGGTGGTGGCAGCCTCTCACTGCCTGGACAGTTCACGAGTCTCACCTGCAACACACTAAGCAGGGCCCCTTCCTGGCCCTCCCCCTTTCTGCTCATTCCCCCACACCGACTCGTGTCCCTGGAAGAGATGCTTCAGAGGCTGTTGGAAGGGGAATTGTTTCCAACCCTTGACCCACCAGGATGGCAAACAGAGCAAAAGCTGAGCAATTAATTAGAACAAGTAAAGCCACAGGTAAGCCTCTGGGTCCTCTGGATAGATCCACTTCTCAACGACTCTATTACCCAATATTCAACATCAAAGTCATTGGAAGATGGTGTTTTCCAGGCCCACTAAGGTCATTTTTGTTCCGGGTCCTCACAGACATTGGGAGAATTCACTCAACCACCCAGATTAGGAGGGGAGGAAATCCAGCTCAACGCCTCCCTGACATCAGACAATGTTCCTGTAAGCAGGGGCTATTTCTGGAATAAGACCCAC